TGCGGTCCAGCAACGTCTCGCTTCGTGGCTGGCAGCTGCCGAAGAGCACAGGCCCGGCGTTCATGCCTCTGGGCAACATGCACATGTGGCAGCAGCACACGAGCGCGGGCATGTTCTGGCCCCAACAGGCCCCTGCGCCTTTGCATCCTGCATTTCATCCAGGATGCTGTGTTCATTTCGGAGCGATGTATGTATTTGTTAACGCGAAATGACACCATATTATGTATAAATGTCTGAAGACTGGCAATGTCTGAAGGGCGAGTAAAACAAGTATATATATATATATAGGTTTTGAATAACTACAGCAATTTGTTCTTTTGCAAGAACGCCAGTGATTTGCAGGACAATGTCAGCTTGCAGGACCTGGTCAGCTTGCATTGACCCTTCCTGGCGCAGCGCCACAGTCTTCACAGGCTTCGACGCCGCCTGCGCTTGCATTGACCCTTCCTGCCACAGCGCAACCGGTTTCACAGGCTTCGACGCCGCCTGCGCTTGCTTTGACCCTTCCTGCCACAGCCACAGCGCCACCGGCTTCACAGGCTTTGACGCCGCCTGCGCCACCAGTGTTGGAGAAGCTCGAGGTGGTGCATGAGCCTTCCAAGGCGTTGCCTGGCAAGGACATCGTGGATTCGAGCAAAGTTGTGGAGGAGAAACCATCGGAGCTGACAGTGGTGATGGCTTTGGAGGATGCGGCGCCTGGAAAGCCTCAGAAGCCGTCCAATCTTGAGATTTTGGAGACTGTGGCACCAGTAGCAGAGAAGGGCCAGAGCATTCCAGCCATTGAAGATGGCGATGTGGGCGACGAGAAAAGCCCAGATGTGACAGCAATTGCTGCGAACGCCATGTTGGAGCAAGCGCTGCACCAGAGAGACAGAGACAAACAAGCGCCTTCAAAAATGAAGCGGCCAGCTGCCTGCCCGTTGAAGCGCCCAGCAGCAGCCCCGAAGAGAAAAGCTGATGAAACGAGTGACTCAGTGAATGCAGTGGGTGACATTCCTGTAGCAAAAGCAGCTAAAACAGTTCCATTCCCCAAGGCACCGCCGCCTCAGCCGAAGATTGGCAACAAGGGCCCCATTCCTGGCGAGGCCAGGCGGTTGCAGCTGATGCCGAACGGGTGTCCCAAATGCCGCAACAGAAAAGGTTGCACACCATCCTGCTGGATCCAGCGTGGATACCGCAAGCGGGGATGAACCTCGCACCATTTTAAGACGGCAGCCTAGGAGGATGACGTATGCAGAGCAGCTGGAGGCAATGCGACCGCCTTGCGGGTTTTGCATCCTCGCAAAGGTGAGATGAAAAGGTTGGTTGGTAGTATTAGCACAAGTTATATAGAAGTCAAAGAAGTTGTGCCTGTTATCCCTTTGGCGGCTCACTGAGCTGCCAGAAGCAATACAGTAAACAAAAAA